ACATTCACTTTATGACTGTATCATACTATATTTAGTTATTCTCTTACTGGGAACAACCTAAAATGTATACTTTCTTTTGCTATTAAAAACAGAGATGATATGTACATACATCATGTGTATATCTTTATATCCTCATGTATATATCCTTATATCCTTACCAGACTCTTTCCTTGAGATAAAGTTCTAAAAGAGGAAGTGCTGGAACAAAGCAAATGTAGATGCTTCCAATTTTAATATACATTTACAAACTGACTTACATAATGATCAATTATATCTGAACTAACAATTGATGGGAATCCCTGTTTCACTGTAACTTTCCCAACAATGGATATTATCAATGTTTTAAGTCACGACGGTTTATATTTAGATGCTTTTGATTAGCAGTAAGGTGAAACAACACTGTGCATGTATATACAATATTTCTTCTGTGAACTGCTTGCTCATGTTTATCCATGTTCCCATCCCATTAAGTGTTCTTTTTCCTCTCATCTGTTGTACACACATATGGACAGAGATTATATATGAATATATATATTCAACTTCATTTTATAAGCATAGTGTAATCCTAATAACAAAACCTACAGAGATTTTACAAAAGAAAAAATCACAGATCAGCATTCATCATAAACATGAATATAAAATCCTTGACAAAATATTAGCAACTGGGCTTTCCTGGTGTAGTAAGTAGTAAAGACTCTGCCTGACAATGCAGGGGACATGGATTCAATCCCTGGTCTGGAAAGATACCACATGCCGTGGAGCAACTAAGTCCATTCGTCACAACTACTGAGCCTGTACTCAAGAGCCCACAAGCCACAACTACTGAGCCCACGCACCCTGGAGCCTGTGCTCCACAATAAGAGGAACTACTGCAATGAGAAGCCCACACACAGCAACTAGAGAGTAGCCTCCACTTGCCATAACTGGAGAAAGCCCACATGCAGCAACAAAGACCCAGCACAGCCATAAATAAAATAAATAAATAAATCTCAAAAAAAAGAAATTAGCAACCTCAACCCAACATGAATAAACAGGATCAATTCAGTTCAGTCACTCAGTCATATACAACTCTTTGCAACACCATGGGCTGCAGCACGCCAGGCTTCCCTGTCCATCATCAACTCCCAGAGCTTGCTCAAACTCATGTCCACAAACTCGGTGATGTCATCCAATGATCTCAACCTCTGTCGCCCCCTTCTCCTCCTGCCCTCAGTCTTTCCCACTTTCGGGGTCTTTTCCAATGAGTCAGCTCTTCACATAAGGAGGCCAAAGTATTGGAGCTTTAGCTTCAGCATCAGTCCTCCCAACGAATATTCTGGACTGATTTGTTTTAGGATTGCCTGGCTTGATCTCCTTGCAGTCCAAGGGACTCTCAAGAGTCTTCTCCAACACCACAGTTCAAAAGCATCAATTTTCTGGTGCTCAGTTTTCTTTATGGTCCAACTCTCACATCCATCCATGACTACTAGAAAAACCATAACTGACTAGATGGACCTTTGTCAGTCAAGTAATGCCTCAGCTTTTTAATATGCTATCTGGGTTTGTCATAGCTTTTCTTCCAAGGAACAACTGTTTTTTAATTTCATGGTTGCAGTCACCATTTGCAATGATTTTGGAGCCAAGAAAATAAAGTCTGCCACTGTTTCTGTTGTTTCCCCATCTATTTGCCATGAAGTGATGGGACCAGATGCCATGATCTTAGTTTTTTGAATGTTGAGTTTTAAGCCAGATTTTTCACTCTCCTCTTTCACTTTTATCGAGGCTCTTTAGTTCCTTTTCACTTTCTGCCATAAATAGGATACTATATCATGATTAGGTACGGTTGATTCAAGGAATACAAGGTTAGTTAACATCAAAAATCAATGCAGTTGATCATTAATAGAGTAAAAAAAGAATTAAAAAAGCAATCATTTCAATAAATACAGAAAATACATTTGACAAAATTCAATATCCATTCATGATCAAAGAACAGGAAAAAAAACAACTTTCAGGAAACTAGGAATAAAAAGAATTTCCTCAGTCTGATAAGAGTATCTATAAAAAGCCTGCAGAGCTAACATCACACTTAAAAGGCACAACACTGAATGTATTCCTCTAATACTGGATACTAGGATTGGGAACAATCTGCCACTATTATTCAATTTGTGCTGTAAAACCTACCTAGCCTAATAAGGCAAAAGAGAAAAAAGGAAAACAGATTGGAAAGAAAGAGATAAAACTATATTAATCTGCAAATGGAATGACTGCCTACCTAGAAAAGAATTCTGGATTCTAAAAAATACACTATTTAGAATACATAAATAAATTTAGCAAGGGCACAAGAAACATAGTCCATGAATAAAGGTCAGTTGTATTTTTTTAATATACCAGCAGCAGGCCATTAAAAAAGGAAATTTTCTAAAATTCCATTCATAATGGGGTCAAAAAAGCAAATTTAACCAAAGATATCTCAGACTACTACACTGGAAACTATAAAACAAGATAAGAGAAATTATAGATAGATATAAATGAAAAATGACACTTTGCTTATGTAAGACTCAATTCTTGTGAGTGTATCTTTTCTGCAAACTGATAAACTCATTCATGTTAATGGCTTGCACTGGCTGTCCTCTGTATCTACGGAGCTGTGCATCCAGAATTTTACATGCCTTTTCCCCGTTATTCTGACCTTAGGTCAAGTATCTCTTCTCCAGACTCTCCCTGATTGCTAAACGAAGCAGTTTTCTTTCCCCTCTATTACACTACCCTCTCTTATTTATTCATTGCACTATGTGAAATTATCTTTTATCATTCACATACTTACTGTCTTTCTTCTCAGCTCAAAGGTGAGCATGAAGACAATATCTTTTGACCAACATATTCCCCGGTATCTACATGAGCTCCTGGTATGGAGCAGGCAGTTGGTAAATATATGTGGACTACTTATTGCCATATTCAGGGTTGTCTTCAAACGCTAACACAATTTTAAGATCAATATAAACAGTGACATAATTTATACTTTCTTCCAAAGTCTTAATAGAGATATTCAAAGAATCAAAGGAATTTAAGAAATGAACACTATTATTAAGGTTAAAACATTGTGGCTTACTGTCTTATAGATAATAAAATGAAAGAGAAAAGAGAAGGACACTACCCACTCTTCTTACCCCCATCCAGATTAGTGTGTGTGTGTGTGTGTGTGTGTGTGTGTGTGAAAGTAAAAGTCACTCAGTTATATTCAACTCTTTGCCACCCCATGGACTACACAGTCCATGGAATTCTCCAGGCCAGAATACTGGAGAGGGTAGCCATTCCCTTCTCCAGGGGATCTTCCCAACCCAGGGTCTTCCCAAACCCAGGTCTCCCACATTGCAAAGAACTGGATTCTTTACCAGCTGAACTACCAGGGAAGCCCTTAAAATTTATACAGTTAATCATTTATACACTGTGAAACCATCTTCAAAGATGTAAATTACTGTTCATTTCATCCTGGCTATTGCTATTCTTTTTCAGTATGGGTAATAATGCATTTATTTCCAATTTTAGAAAGAATGGTTTTTCCCTTTACGTTCCCACAGTTCATCCAACTGTAATACTAGCATTATCATATAAGTATTTCTCAAATTCTCATCTGCCTAAAGGGCCTGCTAGGGGGCAGCGAAACTCACTGTGCTTCCCAATTTAAAATATTCCTTTTCTTTCCTCCCCTTCCCTTACTGCTACAAACTCTACCCATGTCTAGGACTCTCCTCCCACCCCGCACCACCCCAGATAGCTCAGCTTTTTACTAGTGTATCTTTTTTTTACCCTAGAAACTTTCCTTACTAACCCCAGATGCACCCTCTGATGGAATGGCCTGAAGAGTCAGCAGTGAATTTTGATTTCTCTCTGGGACAAAGGTAAATCCTGTCATGTTTTCCATTAAAATGATTGACAACTATCACTTAGGAAGCCTTTATCTTCTATTTATCCCTCACTGAATATAAAGGTTACAATGTCTAGAAAACTTAAAAAGGGATGTGCATCTTAAGTCTGAGAACCCAGAAGAAGTGACAGTGAAAAGGATTGTTGAGTATATTTATCATTTCAATCAGCACACGCACAAAAGAAAACATGAAATGTCAAAAGGACAAAACCAGGAAGCCGGGGCATTCATACTGGCAATAAGCCATAGCTCCTCAACAAAGATCCTGGTTTCCCACCACTGACCCCTATGCTCTAAGGTCTAAAAATCAAGCACCACTCTTAGAGCTCAGAGTGTGCCTTCACCTAACAGGCAAGCAGGTGCAACTAGGGATAGAAAAGAGCTCTATCTAAGCTACCTGGGAATCTGAACTTTTATTCCCACAGGCACAGCATCACATGTGGTGATTAGGTCTAAAGGACCACAGGCCACTGTTAGTTCTGGCCTAGGATTAGAACAAAAACAATAATTAAAATGGCTATTATTTATTGAATACTTATCATATGTCAGATGCTATGCTAAAGTACTTAAATATCTCATTTAATCCCCATTTGATAGGTTCTTACTGTTATTTCTATTTTTTTCAGAGGTGGAAGCTTAGTTACAGAGCAGTTAGGTAATTTTCCATGAATAGAAAGTGGTGAAATTAGCATTCTAACAGTATTCTCATTGATAGCAAACCTGTAATTATATAGTATTTATAAGATGATGAATCAATGAACTTTTAGAAATAATTTCACACATTCATATATTTATTGTTGTTCAGTCGCTAAGTCATGTCTGACTCTTTGTGACCCCATGGACTGCAGCACACCAGGCTTCCCTGTCCTTCATTACCTCCTGGAGTTTGTTCAAACTCATGCCCACTGAGTCAGTGATGCCATCCAACCATCTCTTCCTCAGTTCATATACTGGATCTGCCTATATCTGACTGGTATATCAGGATACTATTAGGTTCTTCAGCTAAATTGTAGATTTTATGTGCTCTAATAAAATATCACAAATATAGCTATTTTAAAAAGAAAGCAAAATTTACCAACAACCACTTAGCACATACCTACTGTGATGTTACCCATCTTGCTTCGTAATGTTATATTACCTGCAAAAGAGAGAAAAAGGCAACTTTACACATTAGGGATAATCTAGAAAGGAAAGATATTAATAATGTTCTACAACACAGTTAGATATCCACAAGGTTATTTAATAATATTATAATTGTCGTTCACAATTTTTCTCAGTATCACAACCCCAGTCAGAGATTTAGGCGCAACTACAAAATAAATAGATTTAGGCATCTATACAAACTCTCTTCTTCCACTCTAACTTAATCTACTACAGCACAACTGAAAAAACAAACCCCTGTACTTTCTGGAAAACATGGAAGAAAAATAATGATTCTTCTAAAAGTTAAAAAATGTAAAAAATAAATAAATAAATAAATAAAAGACTTAAATGTACTGAGTAGGCATATTCAACCTAAACATTACAATATTTATCAGACCACACAAAGCCAAGTTTTGAACCAAATAACACTAAAATAATCCATGGAAAAAAGTAATTACTGTTGTTTTTTAGGCCAGTTTGGCAAACCTATCTGTGAGATTTCAGTGGTTTTTCTGCCAAGAGTTTAAAAGGTTTGGGACAGGAGTAATAAATAACTGAAATATGACTAACAAAAAAAAACTTCAAATATTCCCTTCTTTCAATGAAAATCTATTTTCCAGGATAAACATAGGACACTGAAACCATTCTTCCCAGTGCCTTCCTCCAGCATCAAAAACAGCTGGATTTTTCTTTATGTGTGTTTAAGGGATAATTACTCCTAGAGTTATACCACCTATATTTACTGCACTATCATAATTCTAAAACTATAGTGAAGGGTAAAAAAGGAGTAAAAAAAAAGAAAATGGTAAGAAACAAGTAGAGTAAAAGAAGCTGAGCTATTTAAAATCCCAAAAGATGATGCTATTAAAGTACTGCACTCAATATGTCAGCAAATTTGGAAAACTCAGCAATGGCCACAGAACTGGAACTGGTCAGTTTTCATTCCAGTCTCAAAGAAGGGCAATGCCAAAGAATGTTCAAACTACTATACAATTGCACTCACTTCTCATGCTAGCAAGGTAATCCTCAAAATTCTCCCAGTCAGGCTTCAGCAGTACATGAAACTAGAACTTTCAGATGTACAAGCTGGGTTTAGAAAGGGCAGAGGAACCAGAGATCAAATTGTCATAGAAAAAAGCAAGAAAATTTCAGAAAAATATCTACTCCTGCTTCATTGACTACACTAAAGTCTGACTGTATGGATCACAACAAACTGTGGAAAATTCTTAAAGAAATGAAATATCAGACCATCTCACCTGCCTCCTAGGAAACCTGTGGAGCAGGTCAAGAAGCAACAGTTAGAGCTGGACATGGAACAACAGATTGGTTCCAAACTGGGAAAGGAATATGCCAAGGCTATATATTCTCACCCTGCTTATTTAATTTATATGCAGAGTACATCATGTGGTATACTGAGCTGGAGGAAGCACAAGCTGGAATCAAGATTGCCAGGAGAAGTATCAACCTCAGATATGTAGCTGATATCACTCTAATGGCAGAAAGCAAAGAGGAACTAGAGGGCCTCTTAATGAGGGTGAAAGAAGAGAGTGAAAAAAGATGGCTTAAAACTGAACATTCAAAAAACTAAGAACACGGCATTCAGTCCCATCATTTCATGGCAAATAGATGGGGGAAAAGTGGAAACAGTGACAGATTTTCTTTCCTTCGGCTCCAAAATCACTGTGAACACTGACTGCAGCCCTGAAATTAAAAGACGCCTGCTCCTTGGAAGAAAAGCTATGACAAACCTAGACAATGTATTCAAAAGCAGAGACATCTCTTTGCTGACAAAGGTCCGTCTAGACAAAGCTATGGTTTTTCCAGTAGGTATGTATGAATGTGTGAGTTGGACCATAAAGAAAGCTGAGTGCTGAAGAATTGATGCTTTCGAACTATGGTGCTGGAGAAAACTCTTGAGAGTCCCTTGGACTGCAAGGAGATCAAACCAGTCCATCCTATGGGAAATCAACCCTGAATACTCATTGGAAGGACTGATGCTGAAGCTGAAGCTCCAATAAGCTGGCCACCTGATGCGAAGAGCTTACTCATTGTAAAAGACCCTGAAACTGGGAAAGACTGAGGGCAGGAGGAGAAGGGGGTGACAGAGGATGAGATCATTGGATGGCATCACTGACTTGGTGGACATGAGTTTGAGCATGCTTTGAGAGATAGTGAAGGATAGGGAGCCTGGCAACCTACAGTCCATGAAATCACAAAGAGTCAGACACAACTTATCAACTGAACAAAAACAGCAAAAGAAGTAAAGAGCAGAGGAATAAATTTTGTCTCAGAATTAATCTAGGATGAGTAAAATCATTTATTTCATTTCATGTATCTTGTAAATACTGACATATATCAGTACCTGGGAAAAAGAAAAACAAAGAAAGGAGGCACTTGATTCATTTGTCCAACAGTTAAATGTGCTTTGACTGTAAAAATTTCTCTAAAAGTTTTATATTTCATCATGCTTCACGTGAGCATATGAATAAGAGGTACACTTGTGTAGGAGTAAAACTTGGTTTGTATACTTTGGCCACCTCATGTGAAGAGTTGACTCATTGGAAAAGACCCTGATATTGGGACGGATTGGGGGCAGGAGGAGAAGGGGACGACAAAGGATGAGATGGTTGGATGGCATCACCGACTTGATGGACATGGGTTTAAGTAAACTCCGGGAGATGGTGATGGACAGGGAGGCCTGGAGTGCTGCAATTCATGGGTCACAAAGAGTCGGACACAACTGATGGACTGAACTGAACTGAACTGAAGCTTATAAAATTATTTTCAAGTTTCAGTAATTTACAAGGCTGTGAGATCCTCCTGTTACATGGTTAAGTAAATATTATTTCACTGGTGTGTTCTAGATACTCTTCCAATTTTCAAACCCAGTAAATGCACATTCACATGCAAATAGTGGCCAAGGATCATAAAGCTGCTAAGATAGCTTCCAGTGATCCCTGCTTCCTGGTATTTATGCCCATGGATCTCCTTCACTCATATGGAAGCTGGACCTACTGATGCTTTTAACAAAGAGAATAAGGGCAAAGGCAATGAGATGTTACTTTCAAGACTAGGTTACAAATGATTCTTGCATCTGTTTTGCCAGCTCTCTTTTGCTGTGATGGAAGCCAGCTAGCCATGTTGTCTAACTTCCTTATGAAAGAGGCCCAAGACCAAGGACCTAAAGAGGCCCCCAGCTAATAGAATCTGAACTGAATCCTGCTAACAACAACATGAGTGAACTAGAAAGCAGATTCACTTTTGGCTGAACCTTCAAATAAACCCATGGCCCCATCTGATACCTTGATTACAACCTTAAGAGAGATCTTGAGGCGGAAGACCCAGTTAAGTGATACCCAGATTCCGGACCACCCAAAGTATAAGAAAATACGTATTTGCTGTTTTCAGCTGCTAAATATGTTACAAAGGAAGAGGTAACTAGAAAAGATGTTGAAAGCTGGACATGGGATGATGCCACAATAAATCACTAAAAATATGGGAATAGCTTTGGAAATTGGCAGTAGGCATAGGTTGGAAGGATTTTTAGGAGCATGGTAGAAAAAGCCTAAATTGCCTGAACAGTGTGTTAGTAGAAAGCTGGACTTTGAGTGCTTCTCATATAAGGGCTTAAATGGAAGTGAAAAAAGTGTTTTGGAAACTGGAGGAAGGCAGATCTTTGTTAAGCAGTATTAGAAACTTCGCAACACTATCACATTCAGTAATGTGGAAAGTAGGAAATGTGCCTAATGAACTGAATGATCTAGCTAAGGAGATGGCCAAGCAGTTAAAGTGTTGTAGGCGCTGCCTGTTTTTTCTTGTAGCATCTGTAAAATGCAAACAAAGTAAGATAAACTAAAGAAACGATTGTTTAAAAAAAGAATCAGGACAAGAATCATTTTGAAAATTCTCAGCTTCTCAAGATGGCAAAATGAGAAAGTTAAGAATAGCTTCAACACAAAGTTTGAATTCAGTGTACTGCCAGAAAATGGCCTAAAAATGAAACTGATGGATTGACTGTAAAATCTTTTGTCAAGACTCCAGAAAGATTAGAGTGATACCTCACAGTATTAATTTACCTGTACAAAAAGTCCATTAAACTGGCTGAGGTATCTCACAGATCTTCTCAATCAAGCAATAGGTCCCCTAGAAAGCTTGCGAGCACCATATCTTAATTTCTCTGCAGAAGTCCACATTTTGAAAAGATTCTTGGATGTGGCCCTCATCTGATAGAATAAACACCAATGTGAATTCATAGAAGGCTGACAAAATTTGTGAGAATTATATCAGCAAACACATTGCTAACTTCGACCAAAAGGGACAATAACAGTACAAAGTGAAATGAGACCACTGGAGTCCCAAAATTCTGCTGGCAGGAAGCAGATTAAGAAAATTCCTCAGCTGCAAACACATGCTACATTTCATGAAAAAGGAAGGATGACTCAACTGGAGAAACCAAGAGCTCAGAGGGCAAAGCCTGGAAACCTAAAGAATTATCACAAGGCCATGATTTTAATCAAAGAACCTCCAATGTTTTCCTACCTAAATTTCAAAATCATTATGGACCAATGACTTCTTTGTGCCCCTTACTTTTCTCCCCTTTGAACAGGAAAGTCTATAGCAATCATCCTATGTGTATCCCAGCACTGTATGCTTAGTGGTGTGTATGGGTTGAGGAGGTTAGAGAACAGGTCTTAAGATTGAGAACTATACTTGAGGAGTTAGACCTAAGCAACTATACCCGAGGAGGCTCATCTACATCTGGATCTGATTTTGGTGTAGACATTCTGGACTCTGAGCAGATATGCAATAGGATGAGACTCTGGGAACCTTGAAAGGAAGGGAGTGTATTTCGTATGTGGGAAGGACACAAATCACTTGCAGGGGGTACAGTGAGATACATACATGAAAAGTTAAAAATGAGTGTTTATTAATAATTTTAAGTTCATGTTGTAACTGAATAGTATGTATTAGGTTCCATAACCATTCTGAGGAAGC